TTCTAAATGGTGGATTACTGGACAACACAGCTCTTTCCCTCTTTGATGGTAACATGTACGAAAGACACAATGCACAGGTAATCCTTCAGCCCATTTAGGAAGATTTCCACACCTGCAGTTGGCAAAATTAGGACATTGGTTTATTGGAATGTATGGCCCACTGTCATCTAGAGGAGGGGTCTGCCCCTTCTTTGGGCAAATGGCAACACTTACCCTTTGAGCTTCATGTTGGAGGAAGTTAAGAGGTCCCAGAAGAAAACAGAATTCCATTTAGTGTAAATGTAAGTAGTAACATAGCTTTCCATGTAGACCCTTTTCCCCTTCTGTGACACTAGGCCTTGTCACCTAGTAGTGTTGTTTTGAGAGATTCTTGATTTATACTCATGGTCAGTCAGTGGAGAGGGGCTGGAAGAACTGAGGGCCTCAATTCCAAGAGGGTATCTCAAAGATAAAATAGGTTTTTGCTCTCTGGCGGGGAGGGGTGTTGTCTTGTTTTCACACGGAATCACTTTTCATTTTTATCATGGGCCACAAAAAGCTGGAAGTCGTTTGGACCTCTCTGGATCTCCAGGAGGGCTGGCTGGTGCGGGGAGTTTTTGGAGAAAGAAGAGATGCGATTGTGGAGTACCCTTTCCATGCCTCATGACTGAGAATGAAAATAGAGCCAGGCGTTTTCAAATAATGTGCCTGGGCAATCCAAATGTTACGCAGGTTCTCTGCTGCGTGAACCATATAACCATAATACTGGAATCTGACTTTCACCACGACTTATCTAGTTGGGGTTTTGCCTATATGGAATGATCTAGCTTGGGGTTTTGCCTTGGATCTCCCCCGTTTTAGCTTTTATCTGATTTTTTTTTTTTTGAACCAGAATTTGTGGACTTTGATCGAAAGCCTTCCCAAAGTATGTGTATGGATTGATTCGGTTGTGCTGCTTTGTATGATCCATTTGCTGCTGGTGAACCAGCGCTCCTAGCTATTCTACATTTTTGGTTTGGTTTGGTTTGGTTTGGTTTAACCAGCTCTCGTGCCCGTGGAATGCCAGCCGGAACGTCTCACAAATTTTCAAGCCTATCTTCAAGGCAACAAACACTAGGAGCTTGCTTTTTATGTGGGAGGTGACATTCTTAAACATGGAATTTTATTCTCAGAATTATGGCAT